TGCCTGTCATCCTTGACTGATTGGACTGCTCCCTTTTTTTTTTTTTTTTTTTTTTGAATTTGGACCGTGCTTATCTCTTTCTCTGTATCTTTCCAATTGTACCAGATGTCCCGAAGGACTTCGGACTTCAATCTTTGTAAATTAGGGTTTAGCGGATTTTATAGTTTTTTGTTCCCTCATTCGCTCTACTAGTACTTTTTTGTCGTGTTTTGCATGCACATCAGATCTTCTGTCTGATTCACCACCCTCTATGTCTTGTCCGTTGTCTTAAACTAGGTAGGTTGATTGATTGATTGATCGATCGATCGATCGATAAATAGCTACCCCTTTAGGCATTTAACTTTCATGTTCTTGGCCGCAGTTTGGACAGTTTCTGAACCGACATCGTCAGGGCTTTGATCGATCAATCGATCGATCAATCAATCGATCGATCGATTGATAGGTACCCCTTGAGGCATTGAACCTTTGATTTTTATGGCCGCAATTTCGACATGTTTTGATTCAAAGTCGTCAGTGCTAACCGTGTGTCCACGGCAGTAGAACGTGCACGATTTTTCGGTTAAAAAAACGCTGAAATTAAAACCGAAATCCACGGCAAAAAAAGAAAAGAAAAAAAGAAAAAAAAAGAACGTGCACGATTCCAGGAATGACGAAGTTTGGGCGAAGGAGTAAACGATTGATCGATAGATCGAGTGGTGGATAGATAGATAAATAAATAGGTAGATGTATATAATTTTGGATAGATAGAATGTTATCTGTGAATAGATCGGTTGAGCGATACATAGATAGATGAATAGACAGATCGATCGATCGGTCGATCGATTGTACATAATCCATTCCTTGAAATGCAGTAAAAACTAAAGCTACAAATGTGACACTAATCTTCTATCTATCTATCTATCTATCTATTTATTTTCATGCATTTGAAGGAATGGACTATGAAGAATAGTGGCTATGATAGGGCTTGCTGTCTTAAAAAAACAGCTAATATAACATGATGAGCCCAAGTTACAGCAGCTACAGATCCATAGATAACATAGATAACATAGATAACATAGATAACATAAATACGATGTATGATGCCGCACTGTGATGAACGTCCTGCCGTGTTTTTGACATGTGGACAACACGTCCTCTGTCAGGACTGTTTTGATGGGATGGTTCGTGCTAGCGGTCCTGCAGAATGCTGTGCGGGCGCAGCTCTCCTTGGGCATCCTTGTGAAAATCCACATCATCCTCACCGTAGCTGTCCTATCTGCCGAGGTGGGGGCAGGTAAAGAAAAAAAGAAGAAAAGAAAAAGAGAAAAAAAGAAAAAAAGAAAAAGAGAAAAAAAGAAAAAAAGAAAAAGAGAAAAAAAGAAAAGGGGAAACAGAGAGAGAGAGAGAGAGAGAGAGAGAGAGAGAGAGAGAGAGAGAGAGAGAGAGAGAGAGAGAGAGAGAGAGAGAGAGAGAGCCGTGCCAGCTTCTGATGGCATGAGAGTCCTCGTCTTATCCTGTCTGATTACGGTCTCTATTGAGCTTTCTCGTATGCCTTCGTTGTTGTACCCGTTCATTTTCTTTTCCGTTTTGGATTTTTTTTTCCCCGCTTTTGTATCCCTTTTTCGGCGTTACTCTCCCTTCCACTGTCCTGAAAAAAAACATGAACGGCTTCTTTTTTTTTGGCGAATCGACTCACTACGCGTGATCAAAATGTCCTTCAATCAATCAAGACCCCCCCCCCTAACCATGTCAATCAGTCGATCTGTCGACACATCCATTTTCCATGCATCAACGAGAACCAATCAATCAAGCAATCAGTTAATCAATCAATCGATCAATCAATCAGTCGATCAATCAATGAATCAATCAATCAATCAAATATTAATCAATGAATCAATCAATCTCTCCATTGATGTGAATCGAAGAAACCGCCCGGCCGCTCGATGCGAGCGCGCAGAGACAGAAGACGGCTGGGGTATTTATTTTATTAATTTTATTTAACGTAAAAAGAAAAGAGAGGATGGATTGATGAGGGTAAGCTCTCATTACGGTAGGACTTTCGTGGATGTATTTGGGCGTAATCAAGCATCAGATTCGTTTCCAAGAGATCGAATCGGTCTTTATTATCATGATGCCCTAACAGGCCAAAAGTTGTGACAAGGCATTTTTGTTGTCGTCATCCGTTCGCCTATCGGGGTCGTTTTTCGGATTAAACTTGGTTATGCGATTCGTGAGTTCCTCTCTGCCGGGATCCCGATGCAACGGGTCACATTAATCCCCCCCCCCCTACCCTGTTGTCTTCACACTCGTTCTTTTCTTCCTCCCGCTCCCACTTCCC